GGGGGAAGGGGGGAGATTTTCGAATATTTGACATCCAAATAGACAAGGCCACCCTTAGTTTAGTACATTCGACCGGTATTTGTTTCGTACCTGGGTATACATTCATATTTAAACCTATTCACTGATATTAATCCAACCTTTTATGAATGCACGAGTGCCCACACGCAGACTTTGTCTACTTTATTTTTGGCCCTACCTCCACCTCTCAACACTTATTCCCCTCTTTCTCTTTGTCTCTCTCTTTCGTTCTCTCTGTCCCCCCCCTCTCTCTCTCTCTCTCTCTCTCTCTCTCTCTCTCTCTCTCTCTCTCTCGTGTCTCACTCTCTCTTACCTTTCCTTCTCTAGTTCTATTCCTTCCTTCAGTTTACTGGCCAGTGTACTGGCCAGGCTTGTTGCTTTCAGCACAGATGGTGTGTGTACAGCTCTTCATGCTACGTACTATACAGCGTCAGTGGGCCTTTTATTGGCAGGGTCCAGATAGCAATCCTTCTGAAAGGCATATCTTGTGTCTGTAGAGGCATGACATATTAAAACCAATGACAATAATATATGACTGTGATTTGGTCTTTGTCTTTTAATGCAGAGGGGATATTGATAAAGATTGATTTGAAACAATATAAGCAATCGTGTCAATCATGCTGTGAGAGGCTTCATTTCTTTACCCCTAACGCACGATCAAAGACATTTTCTCCTTACTGTATTTTATTGACAGACGAAAATGAGGGGCGCAAACTTCAGTGGCTTCCCCCTGAGCTACCTCCCCACGTTCGCCTCATCATCTCCACCGTCTCAGAAGACAAGTTCGATTGTCTCCCCTCCGCCCGGAAGCTTCTTGCAGAGCATGAGGACTGTCTTGTTGAAGTAGGTCAACTGCCGGAACACGATGCCATGATCATTCTGGGGCAGTGGCTAGAGAAGGCACACAGGAACCTGACAGACCTCCAGTTTGAAGTACTGGTAGAAGCATTCAAGAAATGTCCGTATCCGCTGTTTTTGAAGGTACCAATGGCTTTACTGTTATTTTGTGTTTTTAACATCAGTCTATCTGACTGTTTTTTCTTAAATGTGTTTATTAAACGAAATTACGCATGGATAAGTCATCACTGAGTTCCAAGTATTCTAAAAATGTAATATGAAGCTTTCCGATCATCATCAGTTCAGGCAAAGGGCCAAGATGCGTGCAGATAGATTTAAAGTTGTTTATGAAATAAGGCACTTTTGAGATTGCTTGGCTCATAACTTTGAATTGTTGGAGTAGTGCTTTGGTTTTTTGTCTGTTTTGCTTGTGTGTGTGTGTGGGGGGGGGGATAATGTAAACTTTCTGACTCCAAAATCAAGTCCAAAAGAAAGTAATATTATAAAAAAAGACCCAGATGATCATGGGTGTACTGTATAGCTCCGATCGCATTTTGGTCTGCTGTCGTGTAAATGACACAGATTCAAATCTTGAATCTTTCAGTATTGTACTTACATTTATTGGGATAGATTTAGTGCTGTTGATAAACCAATAGCTCGTTCACTTTCGTCTGACAACGGTTTAAACGGGATAGAGACAAATCACTCAGTTTAATCTTTCTGTGTCTTTCCACGCGGGTCTAAAAGTTAAGCGACCAACAGAATCTAAAAGGCTATTCATAAAAGTCACTGTGCACTAAGGTTCCGACACGTTTTCTTTGATGTAAGCCTAAAGCTGGTAAAAAAAATGATATGGGATTTACAGCATACACTTAAAACATTTAAAAGTTGACACATTTTTCTCAACACTACTCACGGCTGTGTTTTGTCACCAGTTTTGTATACAATATATACCTACGATCATAGAAGTAAACTTAAAACAACACGCTTAATTAAGTTTGCAGATGACTCCGCTATTATTGGATTAATAAACCTTGATGAAAAAGAGAATTTCGAAGAAATATATCTAAACTCTCGTAATTGAAAAAGAAACAATTGAAATCACGGATTCATACACATATCCTGGTCTTACTATCGACAACAGATTTAGAGAGAGAGAGA